AAAGCATTAATAATTTTATTAGAGAATGTGTTATAAAATAAAATTATATAATATAAGCATTTACTTTATTTTATACTTTTATTTTTATGTAGAAAATACAAAATATAAAAAAGAAATAAATTAATATATAAAACGTATATTAATAAATAAAAAAACATTATTTCTATTATCTTCTTCTTTTAAATCAATATTAAAATATCAAATGTATTATTAATAAATTATTTTTATTATTAATAAAATTTCTCATGTTGTTATTTATTACTTATATCTTTTAATAATATAACTTTATTTTTAAATAATACGATTATTATCTCCTTTATAATAATAAATTATATTAATAAATATTATAATAATTATATAATAAAATATTATATAAAATTATATAAAATAAAATATAATAATTATATAATAAAAATAATTATATAATAAAATATAATAATTATATAAAATTATTTATAATAGTTAATTTATATTATTATTTCCGTATTATTATATTCTGCAGTTGAAATATTATATGTATAGCAAGAGAATTGTATTGTTAAAACAATCACAAATTTCAATTTGAATTTGTAAGTCTTTTTGGATTAGCTATTTTGTGGAAAAAAAAAATAAGATGACAACAGTCGATAATATGACGAATTATTAATCTTTCTCATATAATAACAAATGATAATTTTATGTCTAACGTAAACATTTCACGTTAAAAATTTTTGACTATACATAATCTTTTGTAATTTGACTTTAATATGCCTATGAAAATATAATTAAAAAATTTGTTTCTAATGTACTTACAATTTGTTGTTTATACATAAGAAAATATTATATATCAATTATATTAACTTCATTATATTACTTTCACTTTCTTTATGAAACTTATAAAAATATAATATAATTAAAAAAATATAATAACATATTAATATTTTTCATTTTTGTATTGCAATATTTTTATAAAATTGATAAATAGATATGATGATCGCAGGATAAAATGACGAATGTCATGTATAAAGCCAATCTTGCCAATCAAGATTATACATTCATTATTTTGGTTTTCTGTTCAATTCAATTTAATTTAATTTTATATTT